ATAGCCTATATATATATATATATATATATATATATATACATATATATATATATATATATATATATATATATATATATATATATATATATATATATATATATATATATATACAACATACATACACACACATGTACGCAATGAACATATTACAGGGGTCGGCAACCTGCGGCTCGCGAGCCGCATGCGGCTCTTTTAATATCAAGGTGCGGCTCTCCAGCTCCTTGCACACATACTAATAATCTTAATAAAAAAAAAAAATATTTGAAATAAAAAAATGTTAGTGGCTCTTTAAAACCAGGGAAATTTTGAAAATTGTAACTTTTGGCTCTTCCGCTTCACAAGGTTGCCGACCCCTGACATATTAGGTAACAGCTGAAACCGGTAATTTTTTTAAATCTGGAGAGTGCACGCAAAAAGGACTTTAATTTTTGACAAAAAGATCTTTGAATTTTATTTTGTAGATAAAAAAAGAACACTATACCAAAAACTCTCTTTCGCTGTTTAGAATTTTAAAATGAGAAAAATAAAAATTAAAATGCATTTTATGCAGATATCATTTTGCTTTAATTTTTCTTCTAATGAATGTGAATATATGCTCTCCCACTCTCTCCCCCTCTCTCTATCTCTTATCTCCCCTAATTCCATCCGAGAAAAAAAGAACAGCAACTGAGGTTCTTCGCCCTAAGGGAGGGGAGTAACTCTGATCACTTAAAAAAATTTCTGTCATTGTATCCTTAGATGAATTACGTATGAAAAAAGAATAGGGTGATGCTAGTTTCCAGTATAAGGGGTAGTATGTCATATTATGTCAGGGGTTGGTATGCCATTATTTAAATGGTAGCTAGTATGTCATGTTATGTATGGGGGCTGGTATGTCATTATTTAGGGGGGGGGGGGGCGCTGTTATGTCTTATTATGTCAGGGAAATGTCGGCTGTTATGTCACAGCATGTGAGGGGGCTAGTATGTAAATATATGTGATTGGTGGTATATCATATAATGCTGGTATGTAACATTAAATTAGGGGGCTGGTATATCACATTATGTGTAGGTGGCTGTTATGTCACTTTATTTGAGTGGGCTGGTATTTGACATTATGTGTGGGGCTGGTATGTCACGGTGTGGGTAGCTTTTATGTGACATATAAGGGGTTTGTGTCACATTGTGTGAAGGAGCTGGCATACAATCTATGTAACGTGAATCATACTAGGGATTGACGTAGGAAGCTCTGGGTTATGCAAACTTGAGACATAGAGGCTGAAGGTGAGAAGGGGCGGGCAGTAAAACGAGTTTTGAAAAAAACGGTTAATCATTTGAGAAAGGTTAACAAAACCTCCCCCCTCCCTCCTCCGAAAAAAAAACAATATGAGTCAAGTGGCTGTGCATTGATTGTAATATCTCTTGTTTTTACTTCTTAAACATTCACAAAATAGCCTACACGTAATTCAACACTGATGTTTTCAAAGAGACATACTACCATCTTCAGTGACACTGGGCTGAGAATACTAAAGTGTAGGTGTAGTATCGTATCCTGACGCCGGGTAATGTAGGTAGGCGGAGGTGTTGGCTTTCACGACAACTATCACGTGACCCGCCGAGCCAGGCACGGCGTGAGAGCGTTAGTGCCAGAGCCGGAACTGGGCAGAAGAATTCAGTGGCCATTACTTGTTAGACTCCTGGCCGATAGATATACACTCAGCGTTACGACATCATCAATGTCAATGTTTGCATTGCGAGTTCGTGTATAAGTAGGCCTATAGAGTTGACGCATTATGTTACCAACATTGTAAACTAATCAAGCTTGTTGCTGCGAATTTTGAAGATAAAGAAAGAAATTGATACAATTGATAAAAATAAACTTTTTTATGATATTGAAATTCAAGCTAGGAAAGAAGCCTTTAGTTTAAACGCACTCACAAAAAGATAAAATTAAATTTAAAAAAATAAATTAATAAAAAATAATAAAAAATTTCGAGCTTAGGTCAGCTGAGAAATATGACTTTTAGGACATAAAAATTGTTTGGCCCTAAGTAATTGTAGATCTTGGAGATTAAGAATAGAATGTCCACCACACGGAAAATATTAAAGAAAATGAAAATTAAATTATTTCTCATTTGAGGAGGGTTGTTTGTCTCGGCATGACGTAAGCAGAGGGTTGGTTATTTTTTAAATCACAGGCAAATTTCGTTTCGTTTTTCCGATTTCATCATTAAATCTGTCGGATTGTATTCACAAGTTAACGATCATATTTTAAAATCGTTTAACATAGTGTCAAATTATCGACAGACAGATAAAATGTGTCTGTAACTAGCTCAAAAAATTATAAGTAAAACAAAAAAGTCAGCGTATGTTTAAGTTTTTAAGGAAGCAGTAAATTAAGAATGTATTATTTTTCTTGAACAATGTGACCTTTGATTATATTAGACCAAACCTCAAGGCTAATTTTTTTTTTCAAATTAAATTAGAAAATCGTAACTTTATCTGGCATCTTTAGATCAGAGAAAGGACAAAGAGTTCATGAATGTCTATATTCCAATGAGCCTCTGGGTACGTGCATCAGTCTTCAGTACCTGAGGTGCTACTGGAATAAGACACAAGGACAGCCGGTTGGTGGGTTAATTAAAGGGTTGTCTATATATGTGCCAGACATTTATAAAAGATGGGCTCCAATTTCAGTGACGATTGCTACCCGAGGATCCAGGGTAGGAGGGGGGAGGTCAGAAATCTAACATTTAATTTATTTAGAATTTTTTAAGGACATGTATGACGTAGGACATGTATAGATTTTCGTACGATTTTGGGTTTTGAGGTCTGGGATAATTCTGAAGTCAATTTAGTTAGGGGAGTGGCTTTTCTTTTAGCAACATGTGACGTCATTTTGGTAGGGATCTATTTTTATTTTAAACTACAAACACGCTAAGTGTGTGTTAAAAAATTTGCACAAAAAAAATGCAAAAAAATTGCGTGACTTAATGTAGGGATAAAATGAGTTGAAGCAGTAATTACATCCAGATGACCGTCCACCCTCACCTCCCCTACATTCTGGGAGGTATTGAACTATGGAATCATCATCATCTTTTCCCGTTTGTGTCCAAGACACATGGTGCTGATGAAGTAGAGCTCATGCAAGGTGAAAGGGTAGTCAGACCTGAATGGACACAAAGACGTCCAACAGACTCAAACCCGGGACCCGAACTCAGGAACTCGGGTTAGCAGCCGTGAACTCTAATATCCGTCCGCTCGTCCTGTGAAATACTAAGTAGTAGGACCTATACGAGAAACACTCAAATAGGAAATTTAAAAAAAAATGTAAAACGTTCAAACCCTCACCTACAATTAAATAATTTCTATCGAACGAGTGACTATTCAGCTATTTCTACGTGTTAAATAATAGAGTAACTTCCCTTTGTAAGATATCCTTCGGGCGCCATTGTTCGTCAGGTTTGCAACAAAAAATTTGATTGGTTACCGGAGTGAACGAGGTCGTTATCCATTTGGACTAATGGCGGGAACAGGTGGGTGGGAGGAATGAGGTTAGACATCAAATAAAGAGTTAATTCACGCTTATTGCTTTCGAGATGGTTCGTGGAATGATCAGTAATGGCGTAACTAAAAGAGAATAACTGGAACTTTGTCGTCTAGAATGGTCATAAACCTAGTGATCTGAGAATGCTCAGTTGGACTATATTGCTTTTAGATTTTGATCAACTTGCTCTGACAAATGGACAATGGGACCATAGTGCTCTTAGATGGCTCAGTAGGACTATAATGGTTTTAAATTGTTAATTATGATCTAAGTGCTCTGAAATATGGACACTAGTGTCACATTGTTCTTAGATTGTTCATAGGACTGTATTGTTTTTAAATTGCTAATTATGATCAAATTGCTCTGAAATATGGACAGTGCTCTTAGATTGTTCAGTAAGACCAACTTGCTCAAAGATTGATCAGTAAGATCATACTAATTCTAGAATAGTACAGTATGACCATAATAATTCTAGAATAGTCAATATGACCATACTAATACTCAGTGTTTCTTCCAGACTTTTTTCTCCGGGGGGTGCACTTGAAATTTTCGGGGGGGGGGGGGGGGGCGGACAACAATTTCCGGGGGGTGGGGGGCGGACACTGTCAAAAGTATATATTTTCTATATAAATTCCATTTCGTTCGGTGGGGGGGTAGACTTTTTTTGTTGTTTGTCTGCTATGCTGTGCGACACACTTGATTGCCCGTATCGGTGTGTCAGTGTGTTCACAACACGACTGATCGAACCTTGCCACTAGTACTTTCTATCTTCACTGAACCCCCACACTACACAGCTAAACCAAATCATCTGACATGAAATAATCACCCTGACACGATTTAACAACAACTGAAATATTTTATTTTCGATGAAAACACAACACAACATAATATTGACACATATGTTGACGCACTGATTCGGAGTACGAACAATTTCTTATGTCTTATCAAGATTCAGAATAAGAAACTTTATTTAATGGCTTATCAAGATTCAGAGTACGAACATTATCTTATGGCTTATTAAGATTCAGAGTACGAACATTATCTTATGGCTTATCAAGATTCAGAGTACGAACATTATCTTATGGCTTATCAAGTTTCACAGTACGAACATTTATTAAGGCTTATCAAGCCACACAATTAACATATAAAAACATCACATAGTTATAAGTACCAAGTTATAAATAAACATCGCTAAACATCACGTGACTAAATAACACTATGCCAACCATGGACGAGAGCGTTAAAATTTACATCGTATATTAAGGCTTATACATAGCAGGTAAATAACAGCCAAATCTAACACAAGTTTAATACACAAGTAGGTAATACAGTACATCAAAATTTGTTCTAGTTAAATTTAAGAAGTTGCTTAAAACCAAATAGCCACACTATAAATAAATACATATACATATATATATATATATATATATATATATATATATATATATATATATATATATATATATATATATATATATATATATATATATATATATATATATCGAACTCGCGACTTTCTGGTTAGAAGGTGCGGTTTTTCCCGCTATACCACGACGTCCCCTCAGTTGGTAGACTAGTGACATATTTTTCCATGTCACAATGTTATATTTCCATGTGACAATGTGGTTCCATTTGTCACAAGCACTTTGACGTGTGTACAACACAGATAATACATAGAGCTTGTACATGTCACAGAACAAAGGCTGAAATATTACAGGAATGACAATGTACATGTAGTATATGTGTACACCACTCAAACATGTGTACGCAGAGATAACGTGTACAGAACAGGAACAGCAGACCACAGTGTTATATGTGTACACGAAGTGCTTGTGTGTACAAGGTGCTGTCATGATTTGTACACTACAGAAATAACAGGCTATAAACTGCTGTAACTGTGTACTGCAATACAATAAATAAACATGAATGGTAGGCCATACAATGTACACTATATTATATATGAAAACTGTGTACACAGAAATGCCGAGAAGATTGAAACAGTTCAGGAATGACAACGCGTACACAATACAGCTAGCACACAGTGGTGCTAATGTGTACATGAAATGTGTTTGGGCACAAATGAACAACCAGTTCTAGTACACTATATCGTGAATGTGTACATGCAACCTGTACACGTGTACTGTGTTATAAATCTAAATACAGGGAAGCCCTTTAATTGATTATTTCATCAACGATTTAACAAAAACCGTTTGGGCTAGTTTATAATTGTCTAAAATATAAAAAAAAAAAGCCCAATATATGAAAAAGAATTTTTTTTATAAAAGTTGAAAATGAAACGCAGTTTAAAAAAATATCAGATGTCAGAAATATTTAACAATTTCTTTCATTTGTTTTTAACCATATAAAAGAAATATTAATGAAAAATATTGATTCGATGTTTACGAAGTTTTTTAGTTATATATTTTAATAAAAACTGATAAACTCCATAAGATTATAATCACAAATTTAAAAATTCAAATTATATTCTCAATTTATAAGTATAAGATTGCTCTGCAAATTTTTTTTTGTTTTAGATTCCTTTCAAAAAAAAATACGATAGAAAGATATTTATTTGATAGGGTGGTCCATTTATGGCATTGTAAACTGCGTGCGTGGGGTGGGGGGGGGGCTTTTGGATACAGTGAATGATGTGATATGGGAACTGAGGTGGGGGGTGACGTAATACAGATTTATTAAGAGCTATTTTTTATAAATATTTTTTTCTAAAAAAAAATATTAAATAACATCTCAATGAAAATATTGCTATATTAATAAACTTTTTCGATTTTAATCTCAACGGCAATTAAAGACATAAGAAAACGTGTTTATTTTCAAAGCTGGACATATTCTTTTTTGGAGGGAAGGAGAAAGATAAGTTGTATGAATATATTTTATAGAAAGTAAGGTTAGGGGAAGGGGCTGTTTGTAACGACACTAAAGACGGTAAACACCTGTTAAAATAGCGTGATGCCTTTATGGACAACCCCTGCTAAAAGGATGAAACTTAAATTTTTTTTTAAATAGACCAGATCTCTTGTTAGTGTTCGTCACCTAGGTAACTCGCAGACCACGTGACCTAGTCCTGTTTCCGGTCCGAGGCGGAGAAAACGGAAGTGAAGCTGTGGCGAAACCTCGGGGAGACGACGGCGTAGGCCAGGGGGTAGGATGAGACCATCAGCTTACAGGAGAGGGGCGGGATGCTGGAGGCGAGGTAGGAGAGGCCCTGGGCCCCGTTAAAGATGGTGGAGGTGCAGAGGAAGGCGAAGGGCCCCCAGCCGATCAGCATGAGTAGTAGGAACACGTAGCACAGCTGTAAGAGAGAGAGGGGGTGGGGTGGGGGGGGGGGGGGGTGGATGATGGTAAGTGTTAATACAATATTTTTAAAAAATACATAAGGGAAAATTGATAAAAATTTGTGTACAATATCTTCCATTGTGATAGCATGCAATGCAACTTTTTTTTCTGTCCCTGAAGGGATTTAGATTAAGTTTGGTATAGGATTAGGGTGTGCCTGAGTATAATAGCATGGGTTACATGTTATGTCGAAAACAATAAAGTACTTTAAAAAATTTAAAAGATGTGCACAAATTCGTATTACAAATAAAAAATAACGTTGTGTTGAAAATTTAAGAGAACCTAAACATAGCTATAGTAGATGTGCAAACAGTCATTTTACAAATAAAAATAGTGTTGTGTTAAAAGCTACATATTACCTAAAAATAACTATAATAGAAGTGAAAAGTCAAATTACAAAAACAAAATTCCTTTTGACTCGACCCAAATAAATACAGAAATAACAAATCGTCAAAGATATTTGATATATCGGTGGGAATATTAAGATTTTAATTTTTTTTTGTCAACTTCCATTTCTTAAATTTAAAATTCATTGTTTTTAGGATCATACATTTCCACTGTTGATACAATTTTAATGCGCATTGTTTTACCAAAATAGAAATTGTGTTTCGTATTTTAAAGAATGAAACACAATAGTTTTAGTCGGACTGCAAGGGAGATCAGCCAAAGCCAGCTATTTGTTGCATTTGTTATCCCCCTTGAATAATTAATGGATGTGCGAATGTCAACGCCCCACGTCTTTTATCCCTGAGGATTCGCGTCTACAGCTACTATTGTTGTAACGTATTGCTAAAGTAGATCTAAAGTAGATCTAAAGTAGATCTACATATAGCTGCAAAATCAGCTGACATATAGAGGTTACCTTTAACAAAGCGTTGACGAAATATTGAAGTCGTTCAAATCAATATCTTTCGGCATTTCATTAAATATTAAATATTAATATTTACAAACTAGATTTTGAAGGGTAATCAATTGTATAAAAATATTTAATATTTCACTACTTATACATCAATATTTACGTCCTATTTCAAAATAAAATTATATAAATAGCTTTATAGCTCAAGGGCTTTAACCTTGTAACAAAAAATTAGATATTAGAGAATAGATTGCAAGATGAAGGCATTAAATAGTGATGAATGTGTTTTTATATATATTTTAAAAATATGTATATACAATTTAATTGATACGGTCAGCAAAATTAGCAAAACGCGTGTTTGTTATTGTGTTTCTGTTACTGCAGCATATATCAATTGATCAAATTATCTGTTTTGCGTAGCTAACAAATGGAAGCGAAAAGCTTGAAAGACGGACTAATTCTAAATGTTAAGCAGCAGGATTTCTCTATGGTAGAGCCAGGCTCAGACTTATAAGATTAGGACTGGCTGTAGAGTCGTGTGGTTGATTGGTCGGGGGACATTGATGGTCTCAAGGTTCTGAGAGAGAGAGAGAGAGAAAGGGAGAGGGAGGGAGGGAGAGAGAGATAGGGAGAGAGAGAGAAAGGGGGAGAGAGAGAAAGGAGAGAGAGAGAGATGGGAGAGAGATATGGAGAGAGAACGAGCGAGAGAATGAGAGAGAGAGAGAGAGAGAAAACGAGACTCAGAGAGAGAGAGAGAGAGAGAGAGAGAACTAGAAAAAGACAGACTGAGAGAGTGAATATGAGAGTGTGGGCCAGACAGAATATGAGATAGAGAGGGGATGAATAAAAGGAGAGAGGAAATGTGAGTGAGAACGTGATATAGAGAATGAGAATTAGAAATGTATAATGAGAAAGATTGAACGTCAGTTACAATGTGAGTGAATATTAATAATAGAGAGAGAGATGCGATGTAGAGAGAAAGTAAGAGATATTAAGAGAGTGAGAAGGAATAAAAGAGAAAGTGGGAGTAAACGAGAGAGAAAATTGTGAGTGAGAGAGAGAATGAGATAAAGTGAGTGAACGGGATAAATAATGATAATGTGTGAATGGGAGAGGTACTGAGCCAGAGAGAGAGAGACTCAGAGAGAGAGAGAGAGAGAGACTGAGAAAGAGAGAGTGAGATTTGATTATTTGAAGTCAAAGAGCTTAATAAACAATTAACGTCTTGACCTGTCCTCAATTGGTATGTCGACGGGCGGAGCCAGTAGGAAACTCTACTTCACCTTCCTTAAATTAGAGGACAACTGCATTATAAGGCTGTGTCGAGGGACGGACTGTTCTAGTCTGTTATAAGAGGTGGGGGTGGGGGGTGGGGGGGGGGGGGTGGGGGTAACTTCCACATTTATAAAAAAGTGAAAGAATGTTAACATAAAAGAAACAATCTTCCATACCGAGTGGAGCTGACCCTCTGTCAACGGCGCCATGTTTTGATCCACCTGCGCCACCTGCTGACCGGAAGTGTCACCTTGACCTGACCCACTTGGCCCCGCCCCTGGTTGGGTGGTCGCCGGTGAATGCGCCCAGTACAGACACACGAAGGCGGCGACCACTGGGATGGCGAAGGAGAAGATCTCCATGGTTACCAAGTAGGAGATGTAGCTCTCATCGGGGTTTTTCCAGTCGATGGCACAGGAAGTTCCAGAGAGTTCCACCGTGTACCTGGGTTTGAGGAAAAAGAATTGCACAATGTCACATGACCCGGGTTCGTGATAATCGATAAAAATTTAACCGGAAATAATTCACAAAGAAGCTGATACTAAATGTCTATTGTGTTGGCTTAAAGATATAAAAATCTACAAACTGACGAAACAGCAATCCCTATCATTTTAATACAAAACGAAAAGTTTTAAAAATAACATTTTAAATGGCAATACCACTTGAGCTTATCAATGCTTTTTTTAGCGCATCGCATAATAAATAAACCAACAATTTGATGTTTTGTAAAATAGCGAGGTATTAGCTTGGGTCACGTTTGACCGAGATGCTAACCTCACCCCACACATTCCCACACATTCCCACACACACCCACATAGACTTGGAGACTGGACTATGAATGTTTTATTTCCCTAGACACAGATCACGTGACCTTAAGTCCACGTTAATTCTCGCACCACGCGGGAATAAGCCGAGGTTTACAAACGAGGTCAGCAGAACAAGTGCCGTAACTCCAGACAAACCGAATCTTTCAGAAAATGCGTAGCAAACGTTCGAATAAAACAAAGTGCTGGAGCACTGAGTTAGTGCTTCTCTACTCACTCGCTCTATCTCAATTTCTCTTTCTCTTTCCTTCTCTTTCTTTCTGTTCCTTTCTTCTTTTCTTTCCATCTAGTATCCTTTATCCTTCCTTTTCTAACGCGCTCATTCTTTCTTTCTCTTTCTATCTTTTGCTCCTTTTTCTCTCTCCTCTTACTCCTCTTTCTTTCTCTTTCTCCTCTCTCCTCTAACTCCTCTTTTTCTCTTACTTTCTCAACTCTTTCTTTTTTAATCTTCTCCTCCTTTTTTCTCTCTCTCTCCCTTTTACACCCTCTCTTTCTCTTTCTCTCTCTTTTTTCCTCTCTCTCTCTCTCTTTCTATCTCTGTCTCTCTCTCTGTCTTTCGCTCTCTCTTTCTCTCTTTTTTTTTCTCTCTCTTTTTTTTTCTCTCTCTATCTTTTTCTCTCTCTCTCTTTCTCTCTCTCTTCTCTCTCTGTCTCTCTCTCTCACTCTTTCTCTCTTTTTTTTCTCTCTCTCTCTTCCTCTCTCTCTCTCTTTCTCTTTCTTTCTTTCTCTCTTTCTATCTCTCTCTTTGTCTCTCTCTCTTTCTCTCTCTCTTTCTCTCTCTCTCACTCTCTTTCCCTCTCTCTCTCTATCTTTCTCTCTCTCTCTTTTTCTGACTTTCTCTCTCTTTCTCTCTTTCTCTCTTTCTCTCTCTTTTCCCCCTCACTTTTTCTCTCTCTCTCTCTCTCTCTCTCTTTCTCTATATCCCTCTTATCCACTTTCAGTCACCAATCCTTACAATAGATTATGTAGATGAAAGAAATTTAATGGGTGCTTTAATGGCAAGCTAATTAATCTAAATTTAGATTTAAGCTGCATTTTTGAGTTGAAATACAACCTGGTTAAAAGCTATACCGGGTTTATATTGGGTAACTTTTTCATTTGAGATGCCCACGTTTATGCTTTTTTATAGTAGGTTTGTTTTCAGTATAACATTACAGTGTTTCTTTCAGACTTTTTCTTCTAAGCGGCACTTGGAATTTCGCAGGATGGGCGGGGGGGGGGGGGGGGAGGGTTGGAATTTACATTTCCGGGGAAGGGGCGGGTAGTATGTGACATTATCAAGTCAAAACTTTGTCAGCAGAATTGAAAACCAGTTTATCTGTGTCTAGTATTCAAGACAGTTTATCTGCAGAATTCAAGGCAGCGCATCTGCAAAAATTATAGACAGTATGGCTTAAGAATTAAAGAAAGTATATCTACAGAATTAAAGGCAGTATATCTGTATAATTCAGGACAGTATATCTGTATAATTAAGGACAGTATATCTGTATAATTCAGGACAGTATATCTGTACAATTCAGGGCAGTATATCTGTATAATTCAGGACAGTATATCTGTATAATTAAGGGCAGTATATCTGTATAATTAAGGGCAGTATATCTGTATAATTAAGGGCAGTATATCTGTATAATTCAGGACAGTATATCTGTATAATTAAGGACAGTATATCTGTATAATTCAGGACAGTATATCTGTACAATTCAGGACAGTATATCTGTATAATTAAGGGCAGTATATCTGTATAATTAAGGGCAGTATATATCTGCAAACATCATCCTACCTGCTCCAGCCTAATAACGGCATCACACCCCAGAAAAAACCGTTACCGATGACCATCAAAATGGACCAGATGTAGAACCACCCGCAGCCGTCTTCTGGAAGAAGAATCAAACATTAAAGATCGATATGGTGATTTTAAAATCAAAGATCAATATCTTGATTCTATTAGCGTCCATATTAATAAGTCTTGACATATTGTTTTACAAGAAACAAACATTATGATTCTGTTCCATATTATTAAGTCTTGACGTAATGTTAATCAATCGTTTTGATATTTTACACACAGGAATAAAATCAGGGTTACGTCTTAAGCACAGTGTTACAATCATATAATACTAATCTTTATTGCTTTTAGTAATCAATACCAAACGTGACGTCACACAAGTCAGATTAATTAGTTAATCGTTCTTTGGGTTTGTTTTTTGCATAGGCATAGGAAATTATGTAGTCAGCACTCTGGCATTACTTTTCCCCCATGCTGGCCAAACAGCACCATTCCCAACCGATATTTAAGTCGAACTATACCCTTCCCCCCATTAATGATTAATGTGCTCCCCTATGCCCAACCGCCATTACTGTTCCCATTATGCCTAAGTACCCCACCTCCCCGGGCTGTAGTCGTTACATCACTGTGTCCATCTGAGTGGGAGGAGGGGGCACATATCAAATTGCCCATTTTGCAATACCACACAGACGAGCAAACACTGTTGACTTACTGTTTGGTTTATTTCCCATGACATATCTCTCTATACAAAGGGCAATAACCGAACCAATAGCCACAATTCCGATGAACATGCCTTCAAAAGCGTACATCTGACACATGGTATTCCCGTACAGCCATCTTGTTTGGGGAAAGCAAAAGTTAATTTATACACATTATTAGCAGCAGAAAAGTAAAAAGTAGAGTAGTAAAATGTTCACAATTCACAGTCGCTTTTTAACCAAAAAAGAATAGGTTAAACAACAGGCGCTTGTTAACATGTAATCCTATATCACATCACATTTATTTAAAACAATTGCTTGATTTATCATAATGTACACTCCATCAACAAAATCTATTTAAACAACAAATTACTGGCACTGAAAGTATTACTATGTAGAAGGAACCATACGTAAAGAAAAAAAACTAGTTAGAGAAATATACGTCAACTGTGCTTCATTGTTTAACAATATGTTCCACTTAATTGTTTGTTTTCAAATAACATTATTTTATAGAATTAGTCCTATCTTTGATGCTAGCAACAGCTTTTAAATGTATTTGTTTGTTTGCTGTAATTCAAATCCGTTTTAATATCTTTCAAACTGTTACAACTCAGAACAATGTCTTGCTTAACTATAATCCTAATCGTAAAACCTACATAAATCTCTAATCCGAAATCTGGCAATTGAAATTTATATTTATTGTTGTTTGAAGTATCAGTCGTACGAATACAAGGGCCGGAATAATCAATATGTACCTAAATTTGATTAAATACGTTTATTACAAGCGATTATATTATATGGCGGATCTAATCAATAAGGGGAAACAATCGTGAAATTTGTTTCATATATTTACTGTATAACACAATGTTAAATTGTTAGACATCGGTTAAAAATAAACAGGCAGATTTAAGATGCAAATTATGTTACGTGTCTCTGACGGTAAATATAGTGTGAAACACGTATGCATACCTTACGCGCCATTTTAAAAAAGAAAGAGTTATCGACCCTTAAACTAAAAAAAAAAACATAGTTACCTCCCGCTAAAGCTCGAGGAAGCGGGGAACGGGCTAGGGGCAACAACCAGGAGGTTGGCCACCGCTAGAAGGATGTGGAGCCAGGGCTTGCTGGTGGTGAGTAGTTTGGTGTCCTTGTAGAAGGTCAGGGCTGTCAGGAAGTTGCTCGTTACACCAACGACACCTGCAGGGGACAGATGCAGCAGAGTTTATCTGAGTTGTTACATTTAATATATCATTAAGCAAGGGTTACATGATGGGTTGCGATAACAAACGAGAATATCGAGAAAACATTTATCTGGCCATATTTGTAACTGTAATATTTACATTAGCTTAGGTATCAAAGGTACAAAATAACATTAAAAAGTACGTCATAATCATCAACCTGGGTTTTCTCCACGAACTTGCTTTTTGTATGACGACTAGCATGATCACGTGATGCCCGTGTGCACGTTTGTGCCACCAACATCACCACACATTCAAACATCAACGCGATCATGGCCACTAACTTGTTTATAAATATTACCACATGTAAAAAAATTTACATAGTCATCTAGATCATCAGTGATTTGACCACGAAATGACTCCAGTCATAAACATACCACGACCATCAAGATTACCAAAAACACCATCATTCAGATTACCATCAATGTGATCACAGAAATAAGACCACAAACACGATCATCAAAATAACCAACAACACGATTATCAAGATTACCAAAAATACGATAATCAAGATTACCTGAACACGATCATCAAGATTACCAAAACACGATAATCAAGATTACGAACAACATGATCATTCAGATAACCAACAATGTGATCATGGAAATGAGCACATACAAAACCATCAACACATTTACAAAATATATGATAAATAACGATTTTTTTAGCCCCGTCTAATGTTAAATCTCCATCTACATCACACGAGCCACCCATGCATATCACCACTCACACTACACGTGCGTGCACACACGTGAGTACACTCACGTGCCAACACAGCCACACCTGTCGCACTACTCACCTTGTTACGCTACACCCCTCCATCGATCTACTATTTACCTGCCAAATATACCTTACACACCACACACGGTTGTTCAACGTAGCGTGACGGATTACAATATTTTCTGACTAACACTAAAAACTAAGCTGATTAATACTAAGCCAAACTAAGCCAAAGTAAAAATAAAAAAGTACGACCTTACTAAAAGATATAGAAATTCCGAATCGTATGTGTTGTTGGAGTTATGTAATCTATCGGTATCTAGTGTAGTGGAAGTATTTTAAGTAGTTAGTTTAGCCTTAAGAATATTATGCATATTTTAACAGTGACGAATTTAATTAAACTGTCTTTTTTTTAAACTGAAAATTTTAATCTGTATTTTGTTGGTTTGTATTTCTTAACATTTTTGTGTGTTTAAAGTATTGAACTTTATTAATCGTTGGTGGAAAATCTGAATATAAACACAATTCGTTCTATAAATTATTTAAAGTTAACGTTTTTATATTATATGCAATGGAGTATATTTTATGGAAAAATATATTTTGATTTAGGAAAAGCTATATATGGTATTTAAAGTTAATTTATTTTGAATTAGTTTGAAAAGCAATTTGCCGATTATAATTTCGAAGACAAGTTCAGAAAACATTTTATTAAGAAATAACGTCCCCTAGTATTGAGAAAAAAATAATTTCAGGTGAAGGGCTATTTCGCTGTCATCGAACGATTTTTTTAATACATACATATATATATATATATATATATATATATATATATATATATATATATATATATATATATATACATACACACACATGGAATTGGTCCAAATGTGTTTTTTTTGCGTTTAACTGAGTTATGTATGCATCTATACGCTAAAACTACATAGGATATTAAAAGGTTGTTTTTTTCTTAAACCGGAAATGAGGAACTCACAGAAGAGCATATAGAGGGCGCCAACGGTCGCGTGCTCAAACTTGTTGAATGCAACAGCAGACGTGACGTCATCAACGGCTGGTGAACCTGCATCCGCCATCTTATCGTGGATCTGGGGGGAAGAAAAAAATTTGGTGAAAGATGAATATATTTTTCTTTTTTTTTTCTAGGCGGTCTTCAGTCTATCCTATGAATTCCGTTTTTAGCGGTAGTAAAAAGAGATTGGCTCTACTTCTTCTGCCCATTGTACATTGGACTCTCTCGTTTTATTCCTCCTCTCTCTCTCTCTCTCTCTCTCTCTCTCTCTCTCAAAATTCCTCCTTTGCCATATCTCCTTTTCTCTCCATTAAGGCTAGACTATCCCCTACCTTCTCCTGAGACCTTTCTCCAGTTTTTTTTCTCCGTGCGGAGGGGGGGGGGGGGGGGGGGGCACTTGGAAAAAAGATTGGGGGGGGGGGTGGCGGACTAAAATTTCCGGGTGGGGGGGGTGAGGGCGGACACTGTTAAAAGTATATATTTTTTCTATATAAATTCCATTTCGTGAGGGAGGGGGGGGGGGCGGTAGACCTTCTGGGGGGGAGGGGTCTTATCCCCTCTCCCCCCCCCCCCCCCCCCCCCCCCGAAGAGATACCTGGAATAAACTGCCTGTCTCATATTTTCTCCTAATTCAACACTGACCTTGCTAAAACTTTACCATTCGAATTCTCCCATCCATTTTTCTAATTCCACCTCCCCCCCCCCTCCTCCCCCGCCCCTCACCCTCCCACGAAAGTGCAGGAAGGTCGAGAGATCAAAACAGCCACAGAATCGATCAGCCACGAGTACGGAGTCTCAGCTGTTGTTCCGATCACCGGATCGATACAAACTTTATGTTTCTAATGTCTCTGTTCGATTAATTTCTTTCACAACAAATTGTTTAACGGTTATTGTGGATCATAACACGCAGCGATAAAATAGTTTTAATCTATTAATCTGCAGAACAAATACGATAAATATTCGAATTTATTATGGAACAAACTTTACACAAATATTTTAAGCTTGGAAAGTTTTCTTACTTAAGTAACACGTATTCGATTACATGTTGATGCAGATGAAGTAGAG